AATAGGACCAAGATATGGATCTGGATGGATGGACAGTGCCATTGTAATATGGCAACTCTAACAAGATGCAGCTCACGGTCATGACAGCATGTGATGCTGTAACCTTTAATAATTTTCCAATAACATTGGTTTTCCTTTGCACCTCTTGAAGGCTTTAAAGAAGCTGCTTTTGAAAGATTAAATATCAGCTGGTTGGATATCAAAGTGTTTACAGGGTGGTTAAACAAATGTTTTTATTTTTAATATCCATGGACACTTCACCCACTCTGAAATTTGCATATGAACAAGACCTGCAGCAGGCAGGGGCAATGCTCAACTTTTTTACTTTTCCTAAAAGCAAACAAATAAATGGTTTAAACAAATCCACAAAAAAATAAAAGAAAAATAAAGAAGTTTTTTTTTTATATTTTAATTAATGGTTTGTCTGGTCACACTTGTTGTTTGTCCAAATATATATCATTGGCCAAGTTAAAAAATTATATGCAAAATCTGACATTGACAATCAAGGTCATTTAAAGGTCAAGGTTATATCTAAATTCATATGAATCAAAACAATACATAAATATCAAAATTATGACAAGTTAAACCATATTTCAATAATATAACCTTGACGATCAATGTCATTTAAAGCTAAATTTCAAGGTCATTTTAACTGTTTAGAAGGTCTTGTCCAAAAGGTTGTTTGTCCAAGAATGAAAGTAATCCATTGATTAATTACCAAGTTACTACCAATTATAGCAATAATAAGTGAAAATCCATATAAATAACAAAAGTATAGCCAGTTACAGGGAAAAAACAAGAGAATTTCATTAATTTGACCTTGATGGTCAGTCAATTAAAGGTCAAGGTCATATCTTAATTATTCAATATGTTTGTTTGGTAGTAAGTCTTGTTTTGTCCACATAAAGATCAAATCTGTACATAAATAACAAAATTTTGACAATTTACCCAAAATTCAATTAGACCTTGATGGTCAGTCATTTAAAGGTCAAGGTCAATTCAACCATTTAGAAGGTCTTGTCCAAAAGGTTGTTTTGTCCAAGTATGAAGATAATCCATTTATTCATGACCATGTAACAGTCAATTATAGCAATAATCAGTGAAAATTCATATTTTATAATAATAATTTATCCTTCAAGGTCAGGGTCACAATAAGCCAAGGTCAGTTTGATATATATGAAGGTCATGTCCTAATGCTCTGTCTTAATATGAAGTCAATCCATTCAATAACAACAAAGTTATAGCCAGTTACAGCAAAAAATATTAATTTGACCTTCAAAGCCAAGGTCATTTATGAGTGAAAGTCAAGGTCGTCTAATAAACTGGAGGGTCTATCCTAAAAGATTGTTTTGTTTAAGTTTGAAGAGAATCCATTCAAAAATAACAAAGTTATAGCCACTTATAGCAAAAATCAAGCAAAATTAAGACATTTGACCTTGAAGGTCAAAGCCATTTATGAATGGTGGTCAAGTTTAGTCTGGTCTACTTCAAGGGTTGTTGTGACCAAGTATGTAGACAATACACTAAAAACTTATGATCAAAGTTAAAGTTTGGGAGTGGCAACGGGAAAGCCGCCATGGCTGTTACAATAGACACCTCTTGTATTTTTTCTTTGGAAACAAAAAAAAAATAAAAAAATCGATCTTAAAGGCACATTATGCCTCAGAAACAAATAAATGTTTACTTCCTTAGAAAAGGAAAACATTAATTTTTTTATAGTGTTTAAATAATGACTTTGGAGAAATCTTAGATGCTTGTCACATGAAAAAGTAGCGATAAGTCAAAAAAGTAGCAAAATGTAAAAAAAGTACTATTTTGACTTCCATACAAATTACTAATTCTCTATAACTGTACATATTGTCAAAATGCAATGGATGAAAAGGATGGCTCCAGTTATTGGCCATGGAGTAACTTTTTGGGTACTGTAAAAATACACCAAAATTAAAAACAATATGAGAAATAAAATAAAAGCATTTCTGTGGCATAATGGGCCTTTTAAACAAGTTCAGTAGTTATGTTCTGCTACATTATTTTAAGTGAAAGGCATTGCTACTTTAAGTGAAAGGCATCAAAAGTTTCCAGTATTTTAACATTCAGCAATTGATAAAAAATTTAACTTTCATAATATGGTGTTGCTTAAAGGATCAAATCTACATCCATAATATGATGTTGACTATTAAAGGAATAAATCTACATCCATTAAGTTTTAATTGCTACAACAGGCCTGTCGTCATGATTTTGTGATTCATGCGGCCAATTTGGTGGTTTTAGGGGGGTACGGGGGTATGCTCCCCCAGAAATTTTTTTATTCTAGGATCCTCTCAGGAGCGTTTCCCGTGTATTTGGCACAATTCACGCTAGTACATAACATTTTGGCATCTGTCACTGATTTTTAACAAAGATCTATGCGTCGTAAGTTTAAAGAGTAAAAAGTTGACTACCAATTGCATAACTGACAGACAGATGTACATAAAATATGAATAATTAATATTTGACAGATGAAAAATAAACATTAACTGATCAATGCTGTTATAATTCTTCAGTTTTATCTGATAATTATATATTATTAAACAAATACAAGAAATATTACATACAAGAACAGTAGTATGCAGATTGTGTTCACAATGGTTTAAGCTTAATTATCAATTGATCAGAGTCTCATTTTATGTGAATTTTCCAAAACCATATTGCCATTGTTAGTTTTGGAATCAAAAATAATTTTGGTTGATTTGGTTCCGATGGAACTGTGTCACACGTCATGATATCTAAATTATTTTACTTTTTATATTAAACTACTTGCATGTGAACAGCAGTAAAATTTAAAGAATTGTGATCTTATATTTTGTATATACACATAATTATATATAAACGGTAAACTGTCCGAAGCCACGTCAATATCAATTAATGACATTTAAGATAACTTCACACTTTGTAGTACCTGGCCAATTAACAGTATCCAGTTGTTTAGCGTCATGTTTGTATATTAATTACCGTGCCTTCAACTTCAATGAGGTTTCTCAACAACATCCACCAGGTAGACATTGACGTTGAGGGGGTGAAGACTGTACATCGGTGTAGAGTGGCGTGTTCCAACATAAATTTTAAAAACTATGTTACACAATTGTATCACAAATGTTCCATGAAAAACTGAAGTTCCACACTACACCCTAAAAAGGTCTGATGACCAACATGTATTTACACTTTACAAGGTGGATTTGATGCATTCTTTGTAAAAGTAGCCAAAATATCGCCAGATTGAATTCCATCGCCCAAAAAAGATGCATCATTTTCTACTAATATAAGAAGCAATAGTTATTTATTCTAAAATGTACAGGACAAACTTTTCCACACAAATATTTCTCCGATGAAAATCCATGTTGGCAATGTAAACAATAATTCATGGATATCGCCGAAGTTGCACGAGAGCTCGAAAATTGGAGAATAGCGGGAAAACCAGATTATCACAGAGGCGCGCAAAGGATTGTGGGTCTGAATCTGACTATCGAGCTTCCAATCTGTTGTATATTATACCTGTGTAAATATGAATGCTGGTTCACTATTTTCAAGCTTTCGTCTTTCATATTGTAGTCATATTTCATTTTATGTGGAGAAGACGAAATGGCACATTTTTCACATCTAATTCCATTTGCCAAATGTCTGACCATTTTTCAAGTTTACTAAGATCTTCCTGAAGAGCTATGATTACTTATCGGTCGATAAAACACACAATCATCAGCAAATAAACGTATATTTGATGTAATATTATGTCACGGTTCAGAACTGTTCACTAATTAGGGAAGAAAATGTGTAAGTGGCCGAAAAGCTCAGTCGGTAGAGCTAGAACAAGGGCCATAATTCTGTTAAATTTGGTTGCAGCAAAAATTCCTTCCTTTACTTCCATCTACACATTAAGGTTGTTCATCCCTGGAAGTTTAAGCAAAATTTGCCATCCGGTTTAAGAGGAGTTGCGTTCACAAAATTTCTATATGGTATATAGTGAAAAAATCAACAAAGGGCCATAATTCTGTTAAATTTGGTCGCAGCAAAAATTCCTACCTTTACTACCATCTACACATTAAGGTTGTTCATCCCTGGAAGTTTAAGCAAAATTTGCCATCCGGTTTAAGAGGAGTTGCGTTCACAAAATTTCTATATGGTATATAGTGAAAAAATCAAAAAAGGGCCATAATTCTGTTAAATTTGGTTGCAGCAAAAATTCCTTTCTTTACTACCATCTACACATAAAGGTTGTTCATCCCTGGAAGTTTAAGCAAAATCTGCCATCCGGTTTAAGAGGAGTTGCGTTCACAAAATTTCTATATGGTATATAGTGAAAAATTCAACAAAGGGCCATAATTCTGTTAAATTTTCTCGCAGCAAAAATTCCTTCCTTTACTTCCATCTACACATTAAGGTTGTTCATCCCTGGAAGTTTAAGCAAAATCTGCCATCCGGTTTAAGAGGAGTTGCGTTCACAAAATTTCTACATAGTATATAGTGAAAAAATCAACAAAGGGCCATAATTCTGTTAAATTTGGTCGCAGCGAAAATACCATCCTTTACTACCATCTACACATTAAGGTTGTTCATCCCTGGAAGTTTAAGCAAAATCTGCCATCCGGTTTAAGAGGAGTTGCGTTCACAAGATTTCGGGACGGACGGACGGACAAGTGAAACGCTATATGCTCCCACTTTGTGGAGGCATAAAAAAAACTTTTGTGTGTAAAATATTTTATTAATAAAAAAAAAATTATAAAAGTAAGTGATCGTGGTCATGTACATGTATATACCGTCCAAGCCACGCACCGACTGCCTTTAAGTAGGCGCACCAATAAGTGAACCTGGCCATACCGTACGAGAACATGTCAAAATTTCCCGCCAAATGTCATGTTATGTCGTAAAACAATACGGTGACATGCTTTCAGTTATATTTTTTCTAATAATTTACGATCAACAATAGCACAGGATGAAGAACGCATTACAAAACAATATTTATATGACTTAATTATTTGTTTGTTTACATTTTACGACTTACAATCGACACTTTGCGGCAGACCTGGGCTGTTGAAAATTGACGGTACATTTTATTTGATTTCATTAATTTGCAGCATTTAACCCTTGGTTACTTAAATTCCATATGCTATTCGAATATAATTTATTGAATCTTCAAGCTTAATTAATAGAATGTCTCTTCAAAATTGTTTAAATAGTTACTCTGATTGCCACCGACATGTTTGGTCTTGCATTTTGAGATGGGTGGGGTAATTTCAAGATTTCATTTTTATTTACTTTCTTTCATTTTTTTATGTTTTCAATAGTAGAGTCAGATTTTATAATTTTTGAAAAAAAAGAAAGTATTTGTAAAAAAGATATAAAAGGACATCTGGTATTGTTTACCGTTTTCTTAACAGCCCCCATATTTATCCTCGAGTGACCAGTTTCGACGCCCTTAAGGATTGTTTTGTATGCATCTATAAAAACCATGTGATTGTATTGTATAAAATGTTTTAACTTTTTTAAAAATCTCTAACCTTACTGAAATGGGTAAATTTAAGCTGTTTTTAAGCTATTCCTTTTCATGAACAATCCTACTTTCACTTCATCCTGGAGCGGCCATTTTTATTGAGAGTGCCCTAAAACGACGCCATTGATTGGCTAATTTAATTACACAGTCTGTTTGATCTCCTCTGCCGGAAAAATATAGGTTTGAAAATAACACTTTTACTTTCTTTGTCGAACCTGCAAAAACAAAATAATACATTTAGTGGAGCAACTAATTAAAATATGGCAATTAATTCCATCCATATAAGATAAACATATCCAATTAATTTTCAATTAACATTCATTCATCGATTAATAACCGTAAAAAAATCTACAACACGTACAGGTTGCTTTAGGGTGAAAAAATGCGCCAAAAACAACACTTTTGGGTAATTTTACTGCCAAGTGACCCAAGAATAAGGAAATGAGGTCAGCAGACAGTTTTCAAGGAAAACATGACATAGTAAAGTGAGGGTCAAAATTGCATTAGTGAAATCATACAAAAATCTCTTAAGTAAGGTAAAACATGCTAAATCTTACCTTTGGGTGTCTTACTTACTAAATATTGTTACCTAACCAACTAGAGGAATCCTCTTTTACTATAGCGTAGTACAGTAATGACGTAAGCGGCCGCTTATATCAATTATGAGGCAAAATATAAATGGCGTCGAAATAGGGCAGCGTAAAAATGGGTCACTCGACGATATCCTGGTTGTACTATCTACCGGGAGTGTAAGCCTTATTAAGCACACCATCATATAATACAGAAAAAATCTAGGATAAAATAATTATTTTCTGTAGGAGGTACCATTTTTTGATGAAAATGACAATCTATTATCATCCAAAAGAAATTTTAACTATACATCAAAAAGATAGTTCTGTTAATAACCTCATATGAGTGGCAGCCATCTTTGTTTTTAAGTACTTAATACCAGGAATGACTTGTAAGCAATCAATAAAAAGTTAAAAACATATGTAAATGGTCCATTACTGTTAATGATACTAAAGTTCTATTCAATATTTATCAGTTATCACACAGTAAAAGGGTAACAATTAGATAGGCATTTGCATACACATTCAAAATATCATGTTTGGTCCAAATCGTTAGCAATATTACTATTTTTTATACGTAAAACACATTTACGTGAATAGGGTTATTAAAATTTTCTTCAAAAAATGCTATATTTTGTATGAAATTAATGTGAAAAACACTTGCATACAAAAGAAATTCTTTATGTAAGTATTGTTTGTAATATCTGGACATTCCCGGTACAAAGTACCTCCTGGTATAAAGTACCTTGAGGATAAATGTAGAGTGGGTGGACAAACGCTCGGCGTAATATATCCTCGACTAATGTATATGTCCATTTTCAAGACTGATGATATTGTTTTAAACACAGACACTTGGGGTGTGGAGCTCAAAACGCCTTTAAAATCCAAATAAAATATATGAGCCGTGTCACGACAAAACCAACGTAATCGGTTTGCGACCAGCATCCACGCAGCGCAGTCTGATCAGGATCCATGCTGTTCGCTATCAGTTTCTCTACTTGTAATAGGGTTTGTAAACGAACAGCATGGATCCTGATCAGACTGCGCGGATGCGCAGGCTGGTCTTGATCCATGCTGGTCGCAAAGCCATTATGTTGGTTTTGCCGTGACACGGCTCATATATTTGTCAATCCCAGCACATGTACTGATCATATATCAAAAAAAACTTGATATAAGCCGTTTTGAAAAAATTTCATATTTCAACGTCTATAATAATACACAAGATAAAAATGTTTGCCGGAAAAAATCTGCACACCTACCGTCATAATCACCATGTATTGTATTCCATTTCCAATATTTTCACAGAATCCTTTGGCCCATTGACACAGAAGATATAACTCTTCATGATGATGGTCAATTTTAAACTTCAACGTCAATATAAACAACGCAACAGGCGAAATAAACATCAAGATTATCGCCCTTTTACTCCATTTACAAAATCTTTCGACAAATTCAAACGTGGCTGCCCAGCTTTGCCGTATGCAAATAAGCTGCGCTTTGAAGATGAGAACCAGTCGGCTATAGGCGGAGCCATTCAGACATACGTTCGTTCCCATAATTCAAAGCGCAGCGCATTTGCATATTCCCAATTGAAACCTACAATAAAAAGATATTGAAAAAAAATTCTAAAATCTTTGAAAATAAGGGCTTCTTCACTGTAAGAGTGCTTAAATGTTTGAAGATGGCATCCTAGACAGTAATTGCTTGCATCCATTTAATCACTGTAAAATTTCAGTCATGCATTTTCCCCCAATTTTTAACAAAACACCGCTCAAATTCCCAATTCCATGGGTATAGGTCAAGTGCCCAAAATCCTGGGAAAAAATCCATGGTCTGAAGATTTTCAGAGTGATAATGTGGTGACTATAATGCTCTAAATGTTTTATTTGTGGGCATGAAGAATTAATTGTCTAGCAATCAATTACAGAGATGTGATAGTGCATCAAACCTGTCCCCTATGGGGAACTTGATAGGCAAAATTAAATTATTACATTAAAGTGTGGAGAAGTGTAGTGATTATAGATACAGGCCAATTCCAACAGTCTTGCTTTTCGGTTAACCCTTTAAGCAACATGGTTTAGTGTCTATCTTGTAGTGAAGAGGACTAGGGTTCAAATCCTTGCAAGTGTCGAGTATTTTCTAGGTTAAGAATACTTCATTTGAATTTCTGAAGGCCATGGGTATATTTTAATTCATTGATTATTTAATAATATAATAAGCAATGTTCAAACTTCAGTCAATTTGCATTATAAATTACTAATATAATGGAAATATGTCTGGAAACACATTCTCAATTAATATAAAACTACATAGTGTGTTTTCAAAAATACTGAATGTATTTCCATTTCAGAGTAGATGTCATGTGTTAGCAAAGCCTCAGTATGGTATCAATGTCTTCAGGTATGTAGAATAATTAACACAGTCATAAAACTTTACTGATACTAATAAATATATGTCAATTATTTCTATGTATTATCACAATTATAATTTCACTTTACTTTCGTTTACTTTCGAAAATACATGTATATCAAAAACATTTTACTCAAACGAAACACATTTTAAACAAGTTTTTTTTCAAACTTACAAACAAATTTACCGATAAAAATTAATGTAAAACGGTACGAAAACGGTATGGTACAGAAAAAATATTGGATCCAAAATGGCGACAAACGTTCTTGTACTGGCCATTTGATCTGGTAATTTTGGCTATTTGGGGATGAAAATGGGTGGCCGTTGATGGCATTGAGCAGGTGGCCGTCTTATAAGAGACAAATGTATAGTAATTTACATTGGGGATGTCCAGAGATGGCGCACTTAGGCAGGTGGTGCTTTTATAAAGGTGGCTGATTGGGCAGTTTTGACTGTATTAGATTGCATTTTACTGTTTTGATGCATGGTTAGTCTGCGGCTGGTAAATGTATTTCATGCAGGCCTTTTTCCAATTGCTGCTAGTTGTAAGTCTGTAAATTTATTTTTGGACTGCTGTCTTTCCATATTATATAACCCAATAGACTACATTTCAAACCTTGTTCAGTATTCAGATATTCAGAGATGGATTGATTTGCAACATACTGAATTTCTCATAGTATAATTACAAATTTGATATTAAATTACAGAATTGTACATGGATTGAAATTGTGTTGAAGTTACATGGAATTTGATTTACACTGAATAATACATGGAATCTGAATTGCACTGAATTTCACATGGAATTTGAAGCACACTGAATCTCACATGGAATTTTGAATGGAACTGAATTCCTCGTAGCATTTGAATTGTGCTGAATTTCTCATGGCATTTGAATAACCGATAAACAGTTTCCGAACTAGCAGACAACAGTGTATTCTTATTAGTGATGTTCCGATTGTCGCAAGTCGCCGATAATCAGTTACTGTTATGTAAAGCGACAATAATCGATTCAAAAAATTTATTCCGCGACGTCGTCGAAAATGTTTTAAGTTTCAAAGGCAATTAATTCTGACGATAATTTTCTTTTAGAAACACCTCGCCGATCGCAAAAAATCATCTCAGAGACAATTTGAAGTTGAACAGGACTAAAAAGTGATGTAAACAATAGTAATATAATGTGATGTGAATGTAATTATTTGACATCCATTGAAAAATAAAATCTATTTCGTAAAATTATGACTATATAAGGTTAAAACTGTGTTGAATGAAGTTCATGTTACTGAATATAATCAAGTGCCTTAGGAAGAAATGTTACTTCCCTATTTCTTTTTAACGCGACTTTATTCGAAAAGTTATCGATTATGTCCCATCTGACTGAACCGATGATCGATTGGGACAAATTTCATCCGATTTTCAACACTAATTCTTATCAGTTGAGTTAACCGGTTACATATCTCTCAGTATAAATTGTATGTAAAATGGTGTGACAGGCGGTAGGTTTAACAGTTAAATTTAAGTACCTTCGGTGTCAAAAGGCGGAGAATAGTCTGACTACCTATGCTTTACAATTCTCTGGCTTACTGCATACAGCACTTTCAGTGCTTTGATTGAAGTAATTCATTAAAATAGTAGATTGACATCCCAATAAATCAATTTACAGACTTTTTTCATTTTGACTACTATTTTGTATGTTCCAAAGAAAATACCATATGAACTTGAAATTCTATCAAATAACCAATATTAATGATAATATCCAAAAATACACCCTATAATTTATAGTATAAATAAATTTATACCATATAGGGGGGTATATTTTGGATATTAAAGACCTGTATGTTTTGGATATTATCGTTAATATTGATAGAATTTCAAGTTCCTGTGGGAAAACATTTAATATTCTTATCTCTAGCATGCCTACCAAAGTTCATGATGAACAATGTCTTTCCTATGCCCATTCATAAATATTATACAATTCTGGTAAAAACCAATTAACCATTGAAAAGTTTATAAGAATATCTGGTCATCAGATGTCTACTAGTTCATCTTCACTTGCTGCATTTCTTGCTTGGACACCCTTTGATGCTTTGCATCAATGCTTTTCTTGTTTAGGTATTTATTTGATTCATTCATTGACAAAAGAACACTTATAATGATTAATTTGAATATGACCTTGACCTTTAAATGACATTAATGTCCCTACCCACCCATTTTTAACATGTGTTTGACCAATGTCCTACCTAGAAAGCCTAATTAAAAAAATCCCTAAAATTTACTAAAATGAGTGCCTGTTTTCGAAGTTTTCCTGATTTTTTAGCTCACCTGTCACAAAGCGATGGTGAGCTTTTGTGATCGCTTTTGGTCCGGCATCCGTAAACTTTAAACGACATCTGCTCATAAACCGCTAAGCCAATTTCATACAAACTTCACGGAATGTTCCTTTGGTGTTCATCTTTAAAAATTGTTCAAAGAATTTAATTCCATGCAGAATTCTGGTTGCCATGGCAAGCAAAAGAAAAAACTTAAAATATCTTCTTTTAAAAAACCCAAAGAGGTAGCGTAGCGCTTAGATATATTTGGCATGAAACATTTTCTAGTGAGTGTCTATCAAGTTTGTTCAATTAAATGCCCTGGGGTAAAAATTGGCCCCGTCATATTGCTTTTCCTCATATGTATATAGTAAAAACTTTAAAAAATCTACTTTTAAAAAATCCAAAGAGCTAGAGCTTAGATATTTGGCATGAAGATGTCTACCAAGTTTGTTCAAATAAAAGCCCTGAGGTCAAATTGGCCCCGCCCCAGGGGGGGTCATTGATTTTCCTTATATGTATATAGTAAAAACTTAAAAAGCTTATTTTAAAAAACCAAAATAGCTAGAGCTTAGATATTAAACATGAAGCATCTTCTAGTAAGTGTCTACCATGTTTGTTCAAATAAAAACCCTGGGGTCAAAATTGACCTTGCCCCTGGGGCTCATTGATTTCCCTGATATGCACACATCTTTTGGACTTTGCAATAGCAACGATAATGTTATTTCAGATACAAATATGAACTTTGTGAGATTAATATATACAGGCTGAATTATGCACTATAATGATTATAATTTGCTACAAACCTGTTTAAAAGTATGATGGAAATGTCAAAAAGTTTCCCATAAAATTAACACCTTCAAATGTGTAATTTTCTGTGTCCGTTGTAAATCAAACATTATGTTTAACTAAGTTAGTTAACACATAGAAAATATCTGTGGTGATAATAAGTCTACTCTTCTGATTAGGGCAAGTCACACGCTGAGGTGTTTAAGTTGACACTGAGGTGTTAAAGTTGACGAGTCTTGGACAGTCTACAACACTGATTGTCATTGTATCTCCATTTCTTTTTGGTTCTATTTAGCTGGTAGGCAGTGTTAAAGTTTAATTACAAGGATATTTTGTCAGGCTGTTCAGAGATGTACAGCTCTCTGTCAATTATAGATCAATTTTTTCATCAACATTTTTGGCTATTTATATATACATCTTTATTTTTGTTTTTGGTTAAGGAAGTACTTTGATGATTGGATGCCTTATATTTCTTGCATTAGACAGTGAAAGTTAAATTGTTGGAATGTCATATAAAGTAAATGCTTACTTTGTATAACTTAATTTCATTACTAGAATTACAGTTCTGCTGGAATAATATGCATGACACCTTGGACAAAAGTCATTGAATTAAGTTAAACAGCCCTTGAATCCTGTTTTGATTATGACCTTTTGATGTCTACATGTACACTACAGGACTGGTGTTATATTGTTAAACATTGTGTTTTGCATTATTTTTGGAATATTTTTCAGATGGTCAGAAATTACTATTTTATAAGACTTTCTCTGTAACAAAATGAAATTATCTATACAAGGTATCCTCTGCAATTCACCAATTTTTTTTTTTAAATTGTGACATATTTTTCGCGACTCCAATTTTTTTATAATTATTAAAAAACAAAAAGAAGAAATGTTCTGTTTAAGAAGCTTTAGTATAAAGACAGAAAAGAATATGAGTACGTACATTGGTGATGATGCTATTTTTCAGTAAGTGATTCAGAAAAAAGTGCTGCATTGTGTGAATGTCTGCAAGTTTAATTTCTAAAAGCTATTATGACTTTAACCCTTATAAAAAGTAAAAAATTGTCTAGTGACAAGATATGATGTATGTAGATTTTAGAAAATAAAAGTCAGAAAAATATTAGATTTATCATTTTAAAATGCTTTAATTCCATAAAATATTCAGAATAATTGAAGCTGTAGATACCTTGTAAATTTAGTATTTAAAGATGAGAAATTGAAAAATTTCCGACGGTCGGGATGGAGCTTCCTTCTGGTACCCTTCACAGTGGCGGAAAAATAAAATTGGCCATTTGAAAACCCTGTCTATATAAACCTCCAATGTTTCGAGAGAGGTTTGAGCAGGGATTTTTTATGCTTGTTTTATAGCCGAAATTGGGTCATATTCCCAATTGAAAATAGTATATTATTTTCCAAATCCACAGGAAAAAATTCCCAGTTAAAAGTTACAAAATAAAAATATTGAATTACAAATTTTAAAATCTTTGAAAATAAGGGCTTCTTCACTGTTATGATGCTTAAATGTTTGATGATGCCATCCCAGACAGTGATTCTTTGCATTCATTTAATCACTGCAAAATTAAGTCATGCGTTTTTTCCCAATTTTTAACAAAACATCCCTGAAATTCCCAATTCAATGGGTATGGGTCATATTCCCAAAATCCTGGAAAAAAACCCCTGTTGAGGTTTAACATTGTTATGCACAAACTATGTACATGTATATCGCATAGATGGTTGTGTAAGCTCTCAATTGATACAATTACATGTGTAAATCAGTTCAGTCTAGCTTTGACAATAGCTGGATGAACGCTATCTAGCTATCTACTGCTATCTACTTGTGTAAAACTAAAGCTAAAATGGTTGGTAAAAGGTCTCCTTTCACAGTTCTATATCAAGAACTGCTTTATTCTTGGTATACAGGCGAAAGACATACTTAATGAAATGTGTATTTTGAAGGATTGAGGTAATTATTTTAGCACTGTTTGTTAAGCACTTCTGAAAATTGACCCAGTTGCATTCATATTTGAACACCCCTTGTACCCCTTGTAGTCATTATTTAAAGATTGTGATATGTTGAATATATATTGGGAACAATATAAATTTTATACAAAAATGTAATTGGGAAATCATAAGGTTTAGATTTTCATTGGAAGACTTAACTTTCCTGAAATGAAGTAGTACATTGCTAAAAAAGTGTTTGTAAACTTGCTTAATTTAGGTTGGTCTATCATAACGTCACATATGGTCATCTGCAATTTGAGAAGAACCTACAAGAACATTTTATTAACACAATAGCTGTCAGTCCAGGGGCCTTATTTGAAGACAAAAACTTGTTGGAAATCATAGACAATGACTGCATTGACAAGTACTAGACAAATACTTACAGACAGATTGACAATTTTTATTTCATCTGTAATCACCTTTTTTCTGTTCTTGGGGAATATTTAAGTTCATGTCACTATGAAAGCCCTTTAATCTCTTTTGTTGACCAATAATAGTGTTAGGATACATAATTTAATGAGTGTCTCTCTAAATGCCACTTGATGCATGTATTAACGTGAAAATTTTTACGGATTGTACCGATGTTTGTTGACTTCTATATCAGAACAAGGAAATTGAACATGGCACTGTCTAGCGATGGAAGTTGGCAAATTGGTTGTCGGAAAATTGTCTGGGTGAAAATGTCGGGTTTTGTTTTATGTTTCATAGATTAAAGACAGTCAAAATTATCTATTCTTGGTTTTGGACAAAATTGATTTGAGTTTTCTTTTTCAGCATTTCTAGTTTTCAAGAAAAGTATTCATTTAAAGTAGCAAAACATATTGTATTTCTCTTTGAAAACTTTTAAGGTCTCTTTAAAAATGTTCTTATTTCTTCATTTAATAAATTGGGTCCTGACAAACTTTGAAATAAATAGTTATACATATAATATTAACAAAACACTTATATGGCAATCAAATGCAATATTTAAACAAGCATTCAAGCATAATTTGTTCAATATCCTTCTATCTTATTAAAAGCAAGGGAAATGACATTATTTTTCAAGAATAGAACCAGTTAACTTATTTGTATAGAATTTATTATGCCCCCACAATGTGGGAGCATATAGCGTTGCACTTGTCCGTCCGTCCGTCCATCCGTCAGTCCGTCCGTCCGCACTCACAGGACAGTAATTATGTGGCTAGAGGGACAATAGGTAACTGTTCTTTCTCTTTGATGTCATTCATTCCGTAATGCTTTTATGTGGCTATTTTCTTTTGTGTGGCTAAAAAGAACAATAGAGAGAACAATAGAGTAGCCACATTATTACTCTCCTGTTAGAACGTCCGTCCGTCAGTCCGTACGTCCCGAAATCTTGTGAACGCAACTCCTCTTAAACCAAATGGCAGATTTTGCTTAAACTTACAGGGATGAACAACCTTAATGTGTAGATGGTAGTAAAGGAAGGAATTTTTGCTGCGACAAAATTTAACAGAATTATGGCCCTTTGTTGATTTTTTCACTATATACTATGTAGAAATTTTGTGAACGCAACTCCTCTTAAACCGGATGGCAGATTTTGCTTAAACTTACAGGGATGAACAACCTTCAGGTGTAGATGGTAGTAAAGGAAGGAATTTTCGCTGCGACCAAATTTTACAGAATTATGGCCCTTTGTTGATTTTTTCACTATATACTATGTAGAAATTTTGTGAATGCAACTCCTCTTAAACCGGATGGCAGATTTTGCTTAAACTTCCAGGGATGAACAACCTTAATGTGTAGATGGTAGTAAAGAAAGGAATTTTTGCTGCAACCAAATTTAACAGAATTATGGCCCTTTTTTTATTTTTTCATTATATACTATGTAGAAATTTTGTGAACGCAACTCCTCTTAAACCGGATGGCAGATTTTGCTTAAACTTCCAGGGATTAACAACCTTAATGTGTAGATGGTAGTAAAGGAAGGAATTTTTGCTGCGACCAAATTTAACAGAATTATGGCCCTTTGTTGATTTTTAGTTTTCAACTTTTGGCACATGTAGTCCAAAAAATATTTGACCTAGAGTCATAATATTGACAGAACAGTGGCGTGTGGGAGCATCCGTGTCCTATGGACACATTTCTAGTTTTTATTTATTTTTCATGTAATCTATTTTTTTAAGCTGCAGACAGGGAGATAAGTCGTTTGTTAGAAGAAAACAGACAGGTGAACCAGGAGCTGAAACAATGCCAGGTCAGTTTAAAGTAAAACACATTCAATTCAAATTCAAAGTATGCAAACTGAATTATCTTTGATCAATTTGTTCATATCTCATGTTGCTATTACAAAGAAAGCTTTGAGAGATTGGTGTGTTTTTGAGTTATTGCCCTTTGTTAGCTTGTCAGAATGTTTTCTTTATGAAATACAGGTCAAGTTCGAATATGGGTCATCTCGGGTCAAAAACTAGGTCACAGGAGCTAAAAATAAAAAAATCTTGTTAACACTCTAGTGGCTGCAGTTTTGATCCAAATATCCTTGAAATTGATGAGGAAGGTTGTTTTGATGATTTCTAGGTCAAGTTCAAATATGGGTCATCTCTGGTCAAAAACTAGGTCACAGAAGCTGAAAATAGAAAAATCTTGTTAACACTCTAGTGGCTGCAGTTTTGATCCAAATATTATGGAAATTGGTCAGGAAGGTTGTGTTGATGATTTCTAAGTCAAGTTTGAATATGGGCCATCTCCTGTCAAAAACTAGGTCACAGGAGCTAAAATAGAAAAATCTTGTTAACACTTTAGTGGCTGCAGGTTTTAGCTCATCTGTCACAAAGTGACATGGTGAGCTTTTATGATCACTTTTTGTCCGTCCGTATGTCGTCGGTAAACTTTTACTTTAAACAACATCTCCTCAAACCGCTAAGCCAATTTCATCCAAACTTCACAGGAATGGTCCTTTGGTGGTCAACTTTAAATATTGTTCAAAGAATTTAATTTCATGCAGAACTCTGGTTGCCATGGCAACCGAAAGAAAAAAACTTAAAATATCTTCTTTTGAAAAACCCAAAGATCTAGAGCTTAGATATTTGGCATGAAACATCTTCTAGTGAGTGTCTATCAAATTTGTTGAAAAAAAAACCCTGGGGTCAAAATTGGCCCCTCCCCAGCAGGTTATTGCTTTTCCTCATATGTATATAGTAAAAACTTAAAAAAATCTTCTTTTTGAAAAACCCAAAGAGGTAGAGCTTAAATATTTGGCATGAAACATTGTCTGATGAGAGTCTACCAAGTTTCTTCAAATAAAAGCCCTGGGGTCAAATTTGGCCCTGCCCCAGGGGGGTCATTGCTTTTCCTTATATGTATATAGTAAAAACTTAAAATATCTTCTTGTATAAAAACCCAAAGAGCTAGAGCTTATATATTTGGCATGAAACATCTTCTAGTGAGTGTCTATCAAGTTTGTTCAAATAAAATCCCTGGGGTCAAAATTGGCCCCACCCCTGGGGGTCATTGATGTTCCTTATATGTTTATAGTAAATACTTAAAAAATCTTCTTTTAAAAAACCCAAAGAGCTAGAGCTTAGATATTTAGCATGAAAAATCTTCCTATGAGTGTCTACAAAGTTTGTTTAAATAAAAGCACTTGGATCAAAAATAGCCCCGCTCTTGGGCGTCATTGTTTTTCCCTTTATGTATATAGTAAAAACTTTAAAATATCTTCTTTTAAAAAACCATAAGAGCTAGGGCTAAGATATTTAGCATGAAACATCTTCTAATGGGTGTCTAAAATTTTTGTTCAAATAAGGACCCTGGGGTTAAAATTGGCCCGCCCCGAAAAATCTTCTTTTAAATAACCAGAGCTAGAACTTAGATATTAAGCATGAGAATGTCTACCAAATTTGTTCAAATAAAAGCCCAAGGGTTATATTGGCCCTGCCCCGGAGGTCTGATTTTTCTGACATGTCTATAGAAAATCCAAAAGAGCTAGAGCTCATATATTTTGCATAAAACATCTTCTAGTTGATGTCTACCAAGTTTGTTCAAATGAAAGCCCTAGGGTCATATTTGACAGGGGTCATTGATTTTTCTTATGTGTACTGTAAATCCTGTATTTTTCGCGATGTTTTAATTTTCGCTATTTTTTCTGGGAGGAAAGAGGCTCCACTTAAACCTTTTGACCTATTTTTCAGGTGAACAATCTAGGACCTTCTTGGCCGTCTTGTTTTTGAGTTATTGCCCTTTGTTAATTTTCTTACTTTATTTTTGTCCTGGTCATTTTACCTAAACCATAAAAGCTATGGACTTGAAACTTCATAGGATGATAGATCTCTTTGAGAAGAAGTGCAGTGCACAAGAACCGGTACTCTGTACATCATGATTTTTTAATTATTGCCCTGTGTTAATTTTCTTTCTTAATAGGCTTGTCCAGAGCATGACTTGATCACTATAAGTTTGATTGTTTCCAAATTTGGTACGTAAGCTTTTATCATTGACCTGAAGTGCAGTGCACAAGAATCCATCACAGAGTCCTCCATTTGATCTGTCAGTGTAAAACTTTTCCATGGTATTTTTATTTTTGATAATATAACAGTTTTATTAACCCTGATGTAACATTGTTACAATCGGTTCAAATGCCACTTAAGTTAAAGGTACATGTACATTGTAAGATAACCTATATTTAAGAAGAAAATGCCTAAGTGACAGCTATACTGTGACACATCCAACTCACAGAGTTCTAGTTATGTAATTTTAATGAAGTATTCATTATTAAATCAAATTTTATCAAGGGTTTTTAGCTGTAATCAGTAGGATTTTAAAAGAATTGTCCGTAAAATTTTGATAAAGCAGATGGTGCTGAATATTATTTCATTGTGTTTTCTTAAGTAATTCAAATGCATTAAAAACTGATACACTTTTTGCAAAACATGTCTCCAGATATGTCAACTCCAATGTGGTTGTACAAGTTATAAATGTTTTATAGTATATTTATACTCCCACAAACGAAGTTTAAGGGGATATATAGTAGTCAGCTTGTCGGTCAGTCCATTCATCCACATCATGGTTTTCAGGTGATAACTAAAGTTTGGGATGAGGTATTGTAATCAAACTTGGTATATAGCAACCTTATGTGGAAACCCCGGTTGTTATCGCATTTGGACCCCCTGGGTCAAGGTCAAGATCACCATTACTAAATATAGAAAATAGGGTTCTGGACAATTACTAGAGTTGGAATGAGATATTGTAAACAAACTTGGTGTATAGCAAGCTTAAATGAAGACCCAGGTTGGTATTGCATTTGGACCCCCTGGGATCAAGGTCACCATTACTAAAAATAGAAAAATGGTTTCCGGACAATTACTAGAGTTAGGAATGAGATATTGTAAACAATCTTGGTGTATAACAAGCTTATATGAAGACCCCTGGTGTGATTGCAATTAATTGAAATAATTCTTTGTATGCAGTTGATACTTCATTTACTATAGGTTGAGTTCAAATTTTTCTTGAGACCACTGATTTTTCAAACAGTCAAAGTTGCTGGTGGGGGTATTGACCTTCATTGATCTAGGTCTAGTTGGTATTTGGTCAGGTATAGCTTTTTATTATATACTTATAAATGAAATATTGAGAAATATTGATGAAATAAAATGCGTATTTTTATTTTCCGTATTTTCACTGTAAAAATTTATTTTTCACTACAGTGAAACATATTTTCCGTATTTTCACTGGTGTCTTGCCGGACTACTTTCTTTTAAATTCTGCCAGTACTCAATATTTATGGGAAAGTCTTTCAAATTTTAATGTCCAGAAAGAGAAAAATGTATATAATAAACAGAAAATTCAAGTTTTTTTCTATAAATACATGATTTATTTTCATCTTGTGGCATGAAAATTACCATATTTCACTCGTGGCTACCGCCACTCATGAAATATTTATTTTCATACCACTCGATGAAAATAAATCATGTATTTATAGAAAAAACTTGAATATCCTCTATATACCCTTTAGGTTATAGTTAACAATCTTAGCTGAATTGGAGAGATTTATTTCATGACTTTATAACAAATGCCAACTCACACACTGAAGTAAATGCTTTACCATGATATTACAATACAATGATTTGGGCTGTCATTGATGGACAAGTTGAATATTAACGATATATCAATAAATCAAATTCAATGGCTTATACATTTGAATATGTGTAATAAACTGTTATCATGGTGTAAGCAAGCATGTTTTATACATCACAAACATAGCATACCAATTCTTGTTATCACCTCTGAAGTTCAAACTAGGTAAGAAAAAGGGAGAAAAGTGACTTTTTTTCCTTTTACACAAGATAGAGTGATATTATCACACAACATGAAGAAATAGGTTTTAAATTGTATCAATATTCTAAATTGTGAATCAATATTATATTGGTTGCTGAATATTGATGATATATCAATATTGTGATTTTCATTGAAAGCTCTAATTATGATTTTAGCAAACTTGTAAGTCTAAACAGAAATAGAAATCATTGACGTTGTTATAGCTTCAATTATTCAGCTGTAAAGTAAAAAGGGTAAACAACTTTTCAGAAACTTCAACATATTACTTGTGGAATTTTCACAAATCAAATCACATAACAGGAAGCCTCTGTATAGCATACATGCTAGATATTATTTTTTTCCATTGAAGAAAGTTTTGTTTTCATTTCAGGCTGACAAAGATTTTGTCTGGTCCCTATGGAAAAAGTTGCAGGTTTCGAACCCAGATGTTACCCAGGCAGTTGGTCTTGTTGTGCAGAGGTAGACAAGAAAATTATCTATAGATTGTTTGTAATGTAGTAATGTCTCAAAAAATACATGTCATACTATAAAGAAAAAAAAAGGGATCTGTATTATTGAAGATGGGTCTGTTAGATGTGGACAACTGGATGGTTAAGTATAGGCACAATTATATGATCTGCTATGATGTGTATTTATTTAAGGCCATCCTTAAAAAAATGTTTGTTTGCAGTAACCTGACCCAGAATTTTTTAGGTGGGTAAGTAGGTCGATTTTTTTTTATTATTGAACTGTACTCCTAAATAAACATGGAATTTCAGAATGCTGGACAATATATGCTTTGAGTATCTGGTAACAATTAATAAATTGATAACTGATTTCTAATTTAATAAGACTTACATTTTATTTCTTCTATTAACCTTTAAAAGAACGAAAACAAAGCACAAGGCATAATTTTCTGATTCCAAAAAATTTTTTTTTTATCCAGACCATGAAAAAAAAATTTGAGTAGGGGCAAATTTTGTGAGTTGGTCGCGTTACTGCAAACAAACATTTTTTTAAGGATGGCCTAATGTGTATGGTGCTCTATATTTATAAAGTGTATATATTGAGTATATTTATAGATTGTATATGGTAGATACTGAATATCAGCTAGTGCAAAAATATTCTGTGTTAAATTGAAGACCAAAGGTAAAATGATTATAGATGACCTTACAATTTGCCTTATAAATAGCTTACTTGTTTTAACTGTGATATATAAAATGACTGCTTCGTATTTATTATTTATATGTACGTGGTTTTACATTTCCTGACACAGGATAGTTAAACAATCAAACGTTACCCCAATCAGCATTATTCTGTATATATAGCCAAGTAAATAATAGAATTAATGTTCATTCTTGACGTCCTGCATCTGTCGTAAATTGTTCCCCTTCATTAACAATTGAAACAACTAGTTGTCCAATATTGGTGAAGATGCCATCTTGTCATGCTGAAGGAAAATTTGTCAACACATAAAATGTATTAATGAAATAAAAGAGGATTGGCTAGGGTTTGACAGTGCATGAGATTATTAAATATTCATGATTTACATATTTTTTCCTGAGAAATATGTTACCTTATGATGCCCTTAATCAATTATCAGGGTACTTAAAAACATTATCTCTCACTGAATGTATGTAATGACCTTGCTCTGCTTTGAATTTGAAACTGTCAGTATCTAGTGATATTACTTTCCTTAATCTGTATTTTAAAAATGACACAAATATTATCTTTCATTTATCTGTGCTATTTTGTCTGTGAAATACATATATGGATCCTGAGGAATTTTGGTAAAACCCTTCTTTATTTTGATCATTAGTTTAAAGGACAGTAGAGCCTTGTCAAAATAGAAACATTGCCCAGCCAGCAGTAATCTACAGATTACAGGATCTTGTCAATATGCATGTTTGTGCCATCATATGTATTCACTAACAGCTTTTATAACTGCCCTTTACTAAATTTTATTTTATGAGTGAGAGAAGCATTCTTATGTTTAGATACCTACTTTAGTAACAATGTTAGGAGTATACAAGTTTTATGGGACAACATTCATTATTTATGGTATCTGCAGCACATTTCTCAGTAAACTTCAATTTACATTTAACTTATGTCCTGGTTTTTTGCAAACTTGATAAATTCAGAATGACAAATTTTATAGGATTTTCGTGGATACTATATAATCATGAATAAATGTAATCTGTTATGTTACGTACAGTAAATTTCTAAGAAAACACAAATACCATGAAGTCATAATTATTTGTGATAGATTAATTCAAGGTTACATTAATCTACTAAATTGAATAGTCCCCTAGATCTTTGTAAAGAGTCAATGATATTCTGACAGCAAAAGTTTCCTGTATTAAGTATTCAGATTTATATGCAAGATCTAAATGTAGTAGAAATTATTGTTTCAATAGATATAGTGTGAATCAGAAAATAAAACAACACATGCTTTGCATTTAAGAATGACATATTTGTCAATATAACTATTAGAAGGGTCAAGTAGTAAGTTAGTAGACAACTGTCATAATGCATTAAAGTTAAAAAAAAAAAGTTCAACAGAACAAGTGTTTGTTTATACATCATTAGTTAAAAGAACTTTTTTTGTGTGAAAATTATGCTAAATTAGGGTAGCAGGTTGTCACAAAGGCAGCATCAATGTATGTGTATGATTTTTAGCTCACCTGAGCTAGCTCAGGGTGAGCTTTAAGGATTGTTGAATGTCCGTCATCCATCGTCTGTCCACACTTGTTCGTTAACACTCTAGGGGTCATATTTTTGCCTCAATCATCATCAAGCTTTGTCCGGATGCTAACAGTATCTAGTTAATAGCTCAGATGAGTTCGAACATGTGTCATCTTGGCACAGGAGCTAAAAAAAGAAAAACCTTGCTAACACTCTAGCGGTCACATTTTTGCCTCAATTATCATCAAACTTTGTCAGGATGCTTGTCTAGGTAATAGCTTGGATGAGTTCGAACATGGGTCATCTCTGAAAAACAAGGTCACAGGAGCTAAAAATAGAAAAACCTTATTGACACTCTAGTGGTCACATTTTTGACTCAATTGTCATCAAACTTGGTCAGGATGCTTGTCTAGGTAATTGCTTGGATGAGTTTGAACATGGGTCATCTCAGATGAAAAATTAGGTCACCGGAGCTAAAAATAGAAAAACCTTGTTAACACTCTAGCGGTCACATTTTTGACTCAATTGTCATCAGACTTGGGCCAGATGCTTGTCTAGGTAATTGCTCGGATGAGTTCGAACATGGGTCATCTCTGAAAAACTAGGTCACAGGAGCTAACTAGGCCACAGGAGCTAAAAATAGAACAACCTTGTATACTCTAGTGGTCACATTTTGACTCAATTGTCATCAAACTTGGTCAGGATGTTTGTCTAGGTAATTGCTTGGATGAGTTAGAACATGGGTCATCTCGGATGAAAAACTAGGTCACAGGAGCTAAAAATAGAAAAATCTTGTTAACACTCTAGTGGCTACTGTTTTGATCCAAATATCCTGGAAATTGGTCTGAAAGTTTGTTTTGATTATTTCTAGGTCAAGTTCAAATATGGGTCACCTGGGGTCAAAAACTAGGTCACACTGCCCAAATATGGAAAAACCTTGTTAACACTCTAGTGGTCACATTTTTGATTCAATTATCATCAAACTTGGTCAGGATGCTTGTCTAGGTAATTGCTTGGATGAGTTCAAACATGGGTCATCTTGCATGAAAAACTAGGTCACAGGAGCTTTTTAACTGTTCAACTTAAATTAATAATATTTCTGATAAAAAGTTCACTTGATGCTTTGGTAGAGTAAAAACTAGAAACAGATTTATTTCAGTTTCTGGAGCTTTGACTTAAATAAAATTAAACCCTGCAATGCACAATGATTTCTCAGTTTTTCCCCCAATTTTTATGCCACCCAGAAAATAGTTAAGAGTTTCCCTCTTCGACTAAAAGTTACTCACAAAATTTTCTAAGTTTTTTATGCCCCCACAAAGTGGGAGCATATAGCGTTGCACTTGTCCGTCCGTCCGTCTGGCCGTCTGTCCGTCCGTCCCTACGTCCCAAAATCTTGTGAACGCAACTCCTCCTAAACCGGATGGCAGATTTTGCTTAAACTTACAGGGATGATCAACCTTAATGTGTAGATGGTAGTAAAGGAAGGAATTTTTGCTGCGACCAAATTTAACAGAATTATGGCCCTTTGTTGATTTTTTTCACCATATACCACATAGAAATTTTGTGAACGCAACTCCTCTTAAACCTGATGGCAGATTTTGCTTAAACTTCCAGGGATGATCAACCTTAATGTGTAGATGGTAGTAAAGGAAGGAATTTTTGCTGCGACCAAATTTAACAGAATTATGGCCCTTTGTTGATTTTTTCACTATATACCACATAGAAATTTTGTGAACGCAACTCCTCTTAAATCGGATGGCAGATTTTGCTTAAATTTTCAGGGATGATCAACCTTAATGTGTAGATGGCAGTAAAGGAAGGAATTTTTGCTGCGACCAAATTTAAGTGAATTATGGCCCTTTGTTGATTTTTTCATTATATACCATATAGAAATTTTGTGAACGCAACTCCTCTTAAACCGGATGGCAGATTTTGCTTAAACTTCCAGGGATGAACAACCTTAATGTGTAGATGGCAGTAAAGGAAGGAATTTTTGCTGCGACCAAATTTAAGTGAATTATGGCCCTTTGTTGATTTTTTCACTATATACCTTATATAAGTTGTCAGTGGGGGCATCCGTGTCCTTTGGACACAGTTCTAGTTTTCCACTGATTTGCCACCCAGAAAATAGTTAGAGTTTCACTTTTTCACTAAAAGCCACTCATTTTCCACCTTCAAAATAAACTAAGTTTCATTTTTCACCAATTTCCACCCTTTTGCCACCATGAAAAAAATCTATGTTCAAAGTTCCACTCAATGCCGCCAAGGAAAGTGGCATTTGGTGGTAATTTTTCCACTACCTTGGAAAAAGAGAGGAATTTTGACATTTTCCATTTAATGCCACCTTTTTAGCTCGACTATACAAAGTATATGGAGAGCTGTCCTACTTGCCCCGGCGTCGGCGTCTGCATCCGCGTCCAGATTTCAGATTAAAGTTTTGGTGCAGTAAAATATTTTTCACTATAACTTTGTCATTTCTTAAGTTATCAACTTCAAACTTCAAATATATATGTTCCTTATCATCAACCACATCTTACGTGACAAGGTTCATAACTCTAGCACAAATATTTTCACATTTATCTTCCCTTGAACTTAGAATTTTCCTTAAAAAATACTATTTTTTACTGTTACTTCTTTATTTCTTAAGGATCAACCTCATACTTCAAATATATTACAATGTACCTTATCATCATCCCCATCTTATGTGACAAGGTTCATATTTCTAGCACCAGTATTTTTAGATTTATCGCCCCTTGAACTTAGAATTTTCCTCAAAAAATACTCTTTTTAGCTCACCTGAGCATGCTCAGGGTGAGCTTTTAGGATCGATGATTGTCCGTCGTCCGTCTGTCGTCCATCTTCCGTTCACATTTAGTTGTTAACACTCTAGCGGTCGCATTTTTGCCTCAATCATCATCAAACTTGGTCAGGATACTTATCTAGTTGATAGCTTGGATGAGTTCGAACATGGGTCATCCCGGATGAAAAACTAGGTCACAAGAGCTAAAAATAGAAAAACCTTGTTAACACTCTAGAGGTCACATTTTTGCCTCAATCATCATCAAACTTAGTCAGGATGTTTGTCTAGCTGATAGCTTGGATGAGTTCGAACATGGGTCATCTCGGATGAAAAATTAGGTCACCGGAGCTAAAAATAGAAAAACCTTGTTAACACTTTAGCGGTCACATTTTTGCCTCAATCATCATCAAACTTGGTCAGGATGCTTATCTAGTTGATAACTTGGATGAGTTCGAACATGGGTCATCTTGGATGAAAAATTAGGTCAATAAAGCTAAAAATAGAAAAACCTTGTTCACACTCTAGCAGTCACATTTTTGCCTCAATCATCATCAAACTGGATTAGGATGCTTGTCTAGGTGATAGCTCAAATGAATTTGAACATGGGTCATCTCGGATGAAAAACTAGGTCACTGGAGCTAAAAATAGAAAAACCTTGTTAACACTCTAGCTGTCACATTTTTGCCTCGATCATCATCAAACTTTGTCAGGATGCTTGTCTAGTTGATAGCTCAGATGAGTTCGAACATGGGTCATCTCGGATGAAAAACTAGGTCACAGGAGCTAAAAATAGAAAAACCTTGTTCACACTCTAGCGGTCACATTTTTGCCTCAATCATCATCAAACTTGGTCAGGATGCTTATCTAGTTGATAGCTTGGATGAGTTCGAACATGGGTCATCTCAGATAAAAAATTAGGTCACCGGAGCTAAAAATAGAAAAACCTTGTTAACACTCTAGCGGTCACATTTTTGCCTCAATCATCATCAAACTTGGTCAGGATGCTTATCTAGGTGATAGCTCGGATGAGTTCGAACATGGGTCATCTCGGATGAAAAACTAGGTCACAGGAGCTAAAAATAGAAAAACCTTGTTCACACTCTAGCGGTCACATTTTTGCCTCAATCATCATCAAACTTGGTCAGGATGCTTATCTAGTTGATAGCTTGGATGAGTTCGAACATGGGTCATCTCAGATAAAAAATTAGGTCACCGGAGCTAAAAATAGAAAAACCTTGTTAACACTCTAGCGGTCACATTTTTGCCTCAATCATCATCAAACTTGGTCAGGATGCTTATCTAGGTGATAGCTCGGATGAGTTCAAACATGGGTCATCCCGGATGAAAAACTAGGTCACCGGAGCTAAAAATAGAAAAACCTTGTTAACACTCTAGTGGTCACCTTTTTGACTCAATCATCATCAAACTTGGTCAGGATGCTTGTCTAGGTGATAGCTCAAATGAGTTCGAACATGGGTCATCCCGGATGAAAAACTAGGTCACCGGAGCGAAAAATAGAAAAACCTTGTTAACACTCTAGTGGTCACCTTTTTGACTCAATCATCATCAAACTCGGTCAGGATGCTTGTCTAGGTGATAGCTCAAATGAGTTTGAACATGGGTCATCCCTGATGAAAAACTAGGTCACCGGAGCTAAAAATAGAAAAACCTTGTTAACACTCTAGCGGTCATATTTTTGCCTCAATCATCATTAAACTTGGTCAGGATGCTTGTCTAAGTGATAGCTCGGATGAGTTCGAACATGGGTCATCCCAGATGAAAAACTAGGTCACCGATGAAAAACTAGGTCACCGGAGCTAAAAATAGAAAAACCTTATTCACACTCTAGCGGTCACATGTTTGACTCAATCATTATCAAATTCGGTCAGGATGCTTGTCTAGGTGATAGCTTGAATGAATTTGAACATGGGTCATCTCGGATGAAAAACTAGGTCACAGGAGCTAAAAATAGAAAAACCTTGTAGCGGTCACATTTTTACCTCAATCATCATCAAACTTGGTCAAGATACTTGTCTAGGTGATAGCTCAAATGTGTTCGAACATGGGTCATCTCGGATAAAAAACTAGGTCACAGGAGCAAAAAATAGAAAAATCTTGTTAACACTCTAGTGGCTACTGTTTTGATCCAAATATCCTTTAAATTGGTCTGAAAGTTTGTTTTGATGATTTCTAGGTCAAGTTCGAATATGGGTCACCTGGGGTCAAAAACTAGGTCACACTGCCTAAAGATGGAAAAACCTTGTTAACATTCTAGTGGTCACATTTTTGACAAACTTGGAAATTGGTCTGAGAGTTTGTTTTAATGATTTCTAGGTCAAGATCGAACATGGGTCACCTGGGTAAAAAACTAGGTCACACTGCTCAAATATGGATAATCCTTGTTAACACTCTAGTGGTCACATTTTTGACTCACCTATCATGAAACTTGGTCAGAATGCTTGTCTAGGTAATGGTTCGGATGAGTTGGATGGGTCAGGTGAGCGATCTAGGGCCATCATGGCCCTCTTGTTACCTAAACCTTTAGTTACTTATACTAGGCATGGGGAACTTTTTCTTCGTACATTTCTCCAGTTTTTCATTTACTTGAAACCAAATAAATTCTGGATGACACTTTTGATTATAAGTTTTTAGACACTAATTGACAATTTCTTACGGTTTTAAACGCAAAGGTGAAAGATGGAGCATATGTTGGAACATTTTTGTTCATTCCCCTTTTGCATGTTTAAATATGTAATTGAGATAATTTGTCATATTTAGTCGCTTTTGTATAAATAAACGTCTGAGAATGGTGTTCTGAGGACTGTTGTATAGTGGTGTTCACAAGTTCGTGACAGGTTGACTTTAATGTTGACGGGGTTTATTCATTATGCATATGAGAATAAATTCAAGAAATTACCTTACTTTGCTTAGGACACATATGTTTTTTATGTTCTGTTTCCCCTGAAAAGTACTATTTAAGTAATTGAACTTTGTCATGTCTGAGGTAAAATATTATGGTCTTTTTAACACCAGATTGTCAGTAAAGATGTACTTTGTAATTTACATAGCTTTCCCTGACAGGGCTTACTTTAAATTACTGTGATTAATAGTGTTACATAATTTATTAAGTGATATTTGGTAGGAATTTAGCTTCAATTTTTTTTTTTATACAATATCATGATTGTCTGTTTTATGCTCCCCGAAGGGAGAGCATATAGTCGCTGCCTTGTCTGTCTGACTGACCGTTTTGTCAGGAGCATAACTTGAAAACCCTTTGACATAATTTGTTTAAACAGCATACAGTGGTAGAGGGCATTGAGGTGGAGTGCAGTGCCTAAGGGCCATAACTCTAATTTGCCCGTTTTGAGCTCACCTGTCACAAAATTGGCCTCCACCCAGTGGGTCATTGATTTTCATTATGTACATATAATAAAACTTAAAAGATCTTCTCTGAAAGTGCAAGGCTTAGAGCTTAGATATTTTGTGTGTAACATCATCTAATGAAACTACAGAATTGTTCAAGTAATTGTCCTGGGGTTAAAATTGGCTTCGCCCCAGGGTGTCATTTATTTCCCTTATTTGTATAAAACTTGAAATTGACAAAAACTAGAATATCACTCTAGAGATTACATTTTTAGCCCAAATATTCTGGACATGGTCAGAAAGGTTGTTTGAATGATTCAGGTTCAGTTCAGGTTTGAATAAGGGTCAAAAAAAGGAAACAGCACATAAAAAGGCTATATGACAAAAAGCCTTATTACCATTTGCACTATTTCAGATAATTATGAATGTATTGATATCAGTTTAAGTTTATGGCATTATATCTGCTTTTAATTCATTGCTAACAATATTGAGAGCCTCAATAATCAGGTGAGCGATGTAAGGGCCATCATGGCTCTCATGTTTTATATAATTATAGGACTTATGTGATTATTTTATATCTATACTATTTTGTGTTTTATGTTATAGAGAGCGTGAGAAGGCCGAAATACGGGATCGTAAGGTTTTAGAGATTATTCAGAGAAAGGATGAACGTATCGGTGAGCTTCAGGCCAACCTGGCATACAAGGCAAGGGAACTCGGGCAGTCTACTGTTAAGTATGTTATCTTTAATATCAATTACATTGCAAGAAATTTTTTCCACATAATAATTTAGAATATTTGTAGATATTATTTGATAACTTATTCAAAGTTTTTTTATACCCCCTCACAACGAAGTTGTAAGGGGGATAGACTGGAATCAGCTTGTCCCTCCAGACGTCTCCCAATTTTGCCGTCCGTCGGTTCTCCCTTGTCCACCCAATAACTTAAGATTCCTTTGACCCACAGCCTTTTTATTTGGCATGGAGGTTAGTCATGACTAGTAGATGACCCCTATTAATTTTGAGGTCGCTGGGTCAAAGGTCAAGGTCACTGGGGCCTTGACAAAAAAAAGCTTGTCCACCCACTAACGTAAGATTCCTTCGACCCACAGTCTTTAAATTTGGCATGGAGGTTAGTTATGACTAGTAGATGACCCCTATTGATTTTGAGGTGCTTGGTCATAGGTCAAAATCTCAGGGGCCTTGACTAAAAAAAGCTTGTCCGCCAAATAACTTAAGACTCCTTTGACCCACAGTCTTCATATTTGGCATGGAGGTTAGTCAAGACTAGTAGATGACCCCTATTGATTTTGTGGTCGCAGGGTCAAAGGTCAAGGTCACAGGGGCCTTGATTAAAAAATGGTTGTCCGCCCAATAACTTATGATTCCTTTGACCCACAGTCTACATATTTGGCATTAAGGTTAGTCACGATTAGTAGATGACCCCTATTGATTTTGAGGTCACTGGGTCAAAGGTCACAGGACTTTGACTTCAGAAGTTTGTCCGCCCAATAACTTAAGACTCCTTTGACCCTATGTCTTCATATTTGGCATGGAGGTTGATCATTACCATTAAGTGACCCCTATTGATTTTGAGGTCACTGGGTCAAAGGTCAAGGTCACAGGGACCTTGACTAAAGAAAGCTTTCCCCTCAATTGCTTAAGAATGCTTTGGTCAACAGTCTTAATATTTGGTATTGAGGTTGTTTATGACTAGTAGATCGCCCCTATTGATAGTGTATATTTACAATGTTTTTTTAAATAAAACCCCTAGGGTCAATATTGGCCCCGTCCTGGGCATATTATGTTATATATGTTATATATAAGTTAAATGAGTTAACTTATTTAATTATTTGCTCTCTTATCATTAGGGCAAATGTTAAAAGGGTCAAAATTGGCCCACCCCAGGGGGTCATTGATTTTCCTGATATATACATGTATATAGTTGAAACTTAAAAAATCTTCTTGTGAAAATCCAAAAGAGTAAGACCTTAGATATTTGGCATGAAACATGTTGTAATAACTTAAGCATAACTAGTTTGATTGTCCATATTTTGCAAAAGACCCCTAATGATTTTGGGGTCACTAGGTCAAAGGTCAATGTCACAATTACTTTAAAACCAAAAACAGTTTCCGGAGCATAACGTAAGTTCCATTTGGCCCACAATATTCAAACTTCATAGGATGATTGTCCATATTGGGTAGAAGACCCCTATTGATTTTGGGTTAAATGTGGCTTGTAGAACAATGGGTAGCAGTAAATTCTCTTTGATCCTATTCATTCCATTTTTACTTGTGTGTCTTTTTTTAAGCCTTGTGTGACAAAAAATGGCCAAAAAGATCAAAGAAAAAGTCACATAAGTACCATTTTGTGAGTACATCCGTCCGTTAGCAATTTGGTTTCCGCAGCATAACTTAAGTTCGATTTGGCCCACAATATTCAAACTTCAAAGGATGATCTTCCATATTGGGTAGAAGACCCCTATTGATTTTGGGATCACAAGGTCAAAGGTCAAGGACACTATTACCTTAAAACTGAAAACAGTTTCCAAAGCATAACTTAAGTTCCATTTGGCCCACAGTGTTCAAACTTCATAGGATGATTGTCCATATTTGGGTAGAAGACCCCTATTGATTTTGGGGTCACAAGGTCAAAGGTCAAGGTCACCATTACTTTAAAACTGAAAACAGTTTCCGGAGCATAACTTAAGTTCCATTTGGCCCACAATATTCAAACTTCATAGGATGATTGTCCATATTGGGTGGAAGACCCCTATTGATTTTGGGGTCACAAGGTCAAAGGTCAAGGTCATTATGACTTTAAAACTGAAAACAGTTTCCAGAACATAACTTAAGTTCCATTTGGCCCACAGTGTTTAAACTTAATAGGATGATTGACCATATTGGGTAGAACATCCCTATTGATTTTGGGGTCACAAGGTCAAAGTTCAAGGTCGCTATTACCTCAAAACTGAAAACAGTTTCCGGAGCCTAAGTTAAGTTCCATTTGGCCCACAATATTTAAACTTCATAGGGGGATTGCTATTTGAAGGAGGTAATACTTTATTTTATTCCCATGTCTTACAAATGATTAATCCTTAATAAAAAAAAAAAACACTTTCGGGCATATAATGCTCCGCTTAGCGGTGCTCTTGTTCTTATATGTACTGTAAATATGGTGTTTTTCGCGATGTATTAATTTTCACTATTTCTTCTTGAAAAAGGGCTCCACTTTGACCGTTTAACCTATTTCTCAGGTGAGCGATCCTGGGCCCTCTTGTAGTCTTAAACTACATGTAAAAGCAGATTCCTGGATTAACCATTGTTAATGTCCAGTAGCAGATACATAATACAGTTCCAGGAACTATTAATTTTATTTTTAACACCTTATTTATATGTATTGATATATTTTAAGTTGGTAAAAGAGGTGGGAAAATATGAATGATTTCTTATTGTAGGCAAGATGATGTAAATGATGATATTATAAGATTACAGAGACTTGTTGATACATTACAAGATAGAAATTCTACATTAGAATTACAGGTAATAAATAACTTCATTAAATCATATGAAATCCTCTTCCTTTTGTCTTCTGTGCAGAAATTTTGTGGAATCATATAGTAATGACAAACTTTAAAGTATCATTTCATTTAAAGCCAAATAAAGATATTGTATGGCCTAAGCTGCTGTCCTTAGAAAAATTAACAATGTTTCAATTATCCCCTTTTAATAATGTATAATTATGTTCTTAAAATAATTATGTTCAGTATAGTAAAGGTTTGAACCACTGTTTACATAATTATGTAATGCAAAATTTCCTTACTTTACTACTTTCATAATAACATTTCCACCCTGTCAAAGGCTATTTTTTCATATTTTGACATATTATAGGTAATTCATTAATCCCCTTCTGCGTATTATAGGAATGGCCTCGGTCTGTCTGTGCGCTCTCACGGGACGGTAATAATGTGGCTATAGGGACAATAGGTAACTGACCTTTCTCTTTGATGTCATTCATTACGAAATACTTTTATGTGGCTATTTTCTTTTTTGTGGCTAAGAGAACAATAGAGTAGCCACATTGTTACTGTCCCGTTAGAACGTCCGTCTGTCCATCCGTAACTTTCGTGTCCGCTCCATAACTTTTAAACTGCTGAAAATTTGTTGAAATAACTTATTACAAGTGATCATAATAATGAGACGATGTGCAGAGTGCAAGAATAAGGTTGCTTCCCCCAAGGTCAAGGTCACACTTAAAGGTCAAATGTTAAAAAATTTTCATTTCATAATAAAAAGTCTACATTTCGTGTCCGCTCCATAACTTTTTAACCGCTGAAATTTTTTTGAAAAACTTTGGCACAAGTGATCACCATAATGAGACGACCTGCAGAGTGCAATGATTGGGTTGCTATCCAGAAGGTCAAGGTCACAAGTTCAAATGTGTAAAAGTCGGCTCCATAACTTTGTAACCACTGAAATTTAAAAAAAATAACTTAGCACAATTGATCACCATCATAAGAACATGTGCAGAGCGCAATAATTGAGTTGCTTTCCCGAATGTCAAGGTCACACTTAAAGGTCAAATGTGTAAAAGTCTACATTTAATGTCGCCTCCATAACTTTTAAATAACCCCAGGGTCAAGGGTATATGTTCTCCATAACTTTTTTACTTTATGGAAGATTTTAAATAACTTTGCACAAATAATCACCATCGTGAGACTATGTGATTATCATATGCATGGCACAACATCAAGGTCATGGTTGGTAAAAGGTCAAGAAGTACACATTCATGTTCACTGCGGAAGGGGATTTAGCTGTCCTTCAGACTGCCTTGTTTAGATTGCCTCAGATATTATAAGCTTGCTTCAGTTATCTTATTTGTTCACTTAACAATATGTTTACTTAATTATGTTTTCCCAAAATTTTGGGGAGACATATTGTTTTTGCCTTTCCCGTGTGTACATCCGTCCGCACTACAGAATAGGGATAGGGGCCCTTTTAACTGAAAACAGAACAAAAGAGAACAATAGAATTCATTTCTTAACAATAGAATAAGGAGCCATGGCCCTCTATTAATCAAAAGAAAATAACAATAGAAATGGCCCTTTATCCCTATTTAGATGTCTGTCTGTCCGTCCTTATTAAGATTGTCAGGGCTTCACTGGTCAAACTACTGGTGGGATTTTAACCAAACTTTACTGGAGTGATCAGTACCATCCCTAGTTGTGCACATCACCAGCATATTCTGCACAAAAATGGCCACCAGAGCTAAAAATAGAAACATCTTATCCAACCTTCGCAGGTAAAACTAAAGGTGGGTTTTCACAAAATGGCCACCAGAGCTAAAAATTGAAAAATCTTGTTCGGCTTTTACAAGTCAAACTACTGGTGGGATTTCCATCAAACTTTACAGGAGTGATCACTACATCCCTAGTTGTACACATCACTGGCACGTTTCGCTTAGCTGCACAAAATGGAAGCCAGAGCTAAAATAGAAAAATCTTGTCCGACCTTTACAAATCAAACTACTGATGGGATTTCAACCAAACTTTACAGGAGTGATCACTACATCCCTAGTTGTGCACATCACTGGCACATTTTGCTTCGCTGCACAAAATGGCCGCCAGAGCTAAAAATAGAAAAATCTTGTCCGGCCTTCACAGACAAACCACTAGTGGAATTTCAACAAAACTTTACAGAAGTGATTAGTACCATCCCTAGTTACGCATATCGCCAACATGTTCTGCTTTGCTGTACATACTAGCTGCCAGAGCTATAAATAGAATAATCTTGTGTGGAGCTCCTGGTGGGATATTTCAATGAAACTTCACAAGAGTGAGATCATAACCATCCGTAGTTGTTATTGGCATGGTCTGCAGCGCTGCATAAACTGGCTGCCAGAGCTATAAATAGAAAAAATCTTGTGTGCTTTCACAAGTCAAGCTGCTGGTGAGATTTCAATGAAACTTCACATGAGTGACCATACATAGTTTGGAGAGACATATGTTTTTGTGACAAAAACCCTTCTAGTTACTTAATCCATTTAAATATTTTTTTTTTATAAAATTCAACTGAAATCTGGAGGAGTGCTGTTGCTTTAAATTGATTATGTTTGATTTGTAATCTAAGAAAAAGTAAACAACATTCTGATGCTCTGGTTTACATAATCTTTTATGTAAAAAAAATTGTTATTTTAGCTTGCATGGCTTGTAAGTATTTCTTATCGTAAAAAAAAGCAACAAAAGACACTTAACATTTCCCTTATTGGGGAAGTAAGTCTATTTTTCTAAATGAAATAAAGAGGTATGGAATATTGGAAGTAGCATTAACAAAGTATGTCTTAGATTCACTCTCTTATTTCTCTGGAATTATTGGAAAACTGATACATTTTTCTATTTTGTTAATGGGAAGAATATTTCTGATATTGAAACATGCATTTAGAGGCTGAACAATAGAAATATATATCGCCATAAAAGTATTTTACTGTTAGAAATACTGGTGTATACTAGCTTAAAGAGAAAAGCTTTAGATCAATGGGGTTTTTATGTTGAAGGTTGTAGCCATCTTGCTTATACATTTGTTTATAACCTCTTTTTTTCCAGTGGTCAATTTTAATATAAACAACCCTGTGGTTTTGATTCAGCTTAGAATGTGAGATCTTTCCTATATATGAAACTGTCCAGCAAACATACTGTAGGTCAATTATTCTACATAATTGTTTGGTTTAGTCTGAAACTGCATTCTGGATTTTCCTTCACTAGAAAAATGAGTCTTTCTTATGTGATAAATAGAGTAATTTATTCGTGTAGGTTCAACACTAAATTTAGTGCATAATATAATTTTATACAACTTGTTAAATAAATTCAATATTGAATTTACACTTATTCAATATCCTCTATTTCTTGCCTAGTACTTGTACATTTTAAAAAAGAAATTATGAAAATTTTCTGTTTTTATTTAGCAGTTTTTCCTTTAAGTAAGACTAATATATAAAGGGATGGAATGATGTCAATGTAAAGATGCAACTCATTCATAAATAAAGGGACAGAATGATATCAATGTAAAAATGCAACTTATTCATATATAAAGGGACGTTTGATGTCAATGTAAAAATGCAACTTATTCATATATAAAGGGACGGAATGATATCAATGTAAAAATGCAATTTATTCATATATAAAGGGACGGAATGATATCGATGTAAAAATGCAACTTATTCATATATAGGACGGAATGATATTGATGTAAAAATGCAACTTATTCATATATAAAGGGACGGAATGATATCAATGTAAAAATGCAACTTATTCATATATAAAGGGACGGAATGATATTGATGTAAAAATGCAACTTATTCATATATAAAGGGACGGAATGATATCGATGTAAAAATGCAACTTATTCATATATAAAGGGACGGAATGATATCGATGTAAAAATGCAACTTATTCATATATAAAGGGACGGAATGATGTCAATGTAAAAATGCAACTTATTCATATATAAAGGGACGGAATGATATCGATGTAAAAATGCAATTTATTCATATATAAAGGGACGGAATGATATCGATGTAAAAATGCAACTTATTCATATATAAAGGGACGGAATGATATGAGCCGTGTCATGACAAAACCAACATAATGGGTTTGCGACCAGCATGGATCCAGACCAGCCTGCGCATCCGCGCAGTCTGATCAGGATCCATGCTGTTAGCTATCGGTTTCTATACTGGTTATAGAGTGTAAGCGAACAGCATGGATCCTGATCAGACTGCGCGGATGCGCAGGCTGGTCTGGATCCATGCTGGTCGCAAACCCATTATGTTGATTTTGTCATGACACGGCTCATATCAATGTAAAAATGCAACTTATTCATATATAAAGGGACGGAATGATATCAATGTGTAAAAATGCAACTTATTCATATATAAAGGGACGGAATGATATAAATTTAAAGCATTCAACTCGTCCTCAGTAGAAAATCAGGTCTGATATGATACAAGAAAATTTGATAACCATTTATTAGTTCATTTTGTGTACATACATATGTATAGAAAGAAGATGGGCAATACTCAAAATATGTATAGATGAATGAAGTAAAATATGTCTATCAAGATAATCTCAAGGAGAGAAGAGTAAAAAAAGTGGTCACTTTTGCTAGGTGTCATGCTAGAAAACATGTACATGTATATGAAAAAAATTAGCAGAATGTTCTTGTGGGTTAAACTGACACAAATTAGAGGATGATTTAAAAATAATGATCTAACTTCCTTTGCTTTACATATTTCATATAAGTATTAGTTTCTTTTTTAATGTATATCTTAAAAAAATTGTGGTGAAATGGGTTTCTGTTCCTTTTAGTTGAAATTAAAACATAACAGTCCTAACAAATTAAAATCTCCTGGAAAGGGAGGTAATTTGTCTTCAATGAAGAGTTCTCCTAACCAACGAGACAAATGTAGAAATACTAACACCCCAAAGAAGGAAAATAAGAAGGTAAATGCTTTACACTTGCACTGGGATGGTTACCTTTTTAGCTCACCTGTCACAAAGTGACAGGGTGAGCTTTTGTGATCGCTTTTCGTCCGGCGTCTGTCCGGCGTCCGTCCTTCCGTCCGTCCGGCGTCCGTCTGTCGTCCGTCCGTACACTTTTACTTTAAATGACATCTCCTCATAAACCACTAAGCCAATTTCATCCAAACTTCACAGGAATGTTCCTTTGGTGGTCACCTTTAAAAATTGTTCAAAGAATTTAATTCCATGCAGAACTCGGTTGCCATGGCAACCGAAAGAAAAAACTTTAAATATCTTCTTTTAAAGAACCCAAAGAGCAAGAGCTTAGATATATGGCATGAAACATCTTCTAGTGAGTGTCTACCAAGTTTGTTCAAATAAAAGCCCTGGGGTCAAAATTGGCCCCGCCCCAGGGGGTCATTGATTTTCCCTATATGCATATAGTAAAAACTTAAAAAATCTTCTTTTAAAGAACTCAAAGAGCTTGAGCTAAGATCTTTAGCATGAAAAATGTTTTAATGGGTGTCTACCAAGTTTGTTGAAATAAAAGCCCTGGGGTCAAAATTGGCCCCGCCCTGGGGGTCATTGATTTTCCTTATATGTGTATAGCAAAAACTTAAAAAATCTTCTTTGAAAAAACCCAAATAGCTAGAGTTTAGATATTAAGCATGAAACATCTTCTAGTGAGTGTCTACCAAGTTTGTTCAAATAAAAGCCCTTGGGTCAAAATTGGCCCCGCCCCAGGGGGTCTTTGATTTTCCCTATATGCATATAGTAAAAACTTAAAAAATCTTCTTTTAAAGAACTCAAAGAGCTAGAGCTAAGATATTTAGCATGAAACATCTTCTAATGAGTGTCTACCAAGTTTGTTGAAATAAAAGCCCTGGGGTCAAAATTGGCCCCGCCCCAGGGGGTCATTGATTTTCCCTATATGCATAATAGTAAAAACTTAAAAAATCTTCTTTTAAAGAACTCAAAGAGCTAGAGCTAAGATATTTAGCATGAAACATCTTCTAGTGAGTGTCTACAAAGTTTGTTCAAATAAAAGCCCTGGAGTCAAAATTGGCCCGGCCCCGGGTGTTGTTGATTTTCCTTATATTTGTATAGCAAAAACTTAAAAATCTTCTTTGAAAAAACCCAAATAGCTAGAGTTTAGATATTCAGCATAAAACATCTTCTAGTAATTGTCTACTAAGTTTGTTCAAATAAAAGCCCTGGGGTCAAAATTGGCCTCGCCCCAGGGGTGTCATTGGTTTTAACTATATGTGTATAGTAAAAACTTAAAAAATCTTCTTTTGAAAAAACCCAAAGAGCTAGAGCTTAGATGTTTAGCATGAAACATCTTCAAGATTATGGGTGTCTACCAAGTTTGTTCAAATATAAGCCCATGGGTTAAAATTGGCCCTGCCCGGGGGGGGGGGGGGTGTAGTGGAAGGAGGGGGTCGATCATTGTTTTTCATTATATGTGTGTAGTAAAAACTTAACATCGTGAAACATCTTCTAATGGGTGTCTTCCAAGTTTGTTCAAATAAAAGCCCTGGGGTTTAAACTGGCCCCGCTCCGGGTGCCTTTATACAGGTGAGCGACCTCAGGGCCATCATGGCCCTCTTGTTATTTATGCTCCCCGAAGGGTGAGCATACAGTCGCACTGTCCGTCAATCAGGTCGTCCTCCGGTCCGTCCATCCATCCGCTATTCTTGTCCTAACTTTGAAACACAAGAAGTATCAACATGAAACTTTGTAGATAGATAGATCTCATTGAGTAGATGTGCAGTGCACAAGAACCGTAACTCTGCCTTGCCTACTTTTGGAATTATTGCCCTTTGTTTATTTTTACACTGAACTTTGTCTGGGACATAACTCTAAAACTATAAGAGATATCAACATGAAACTTTGTAGGTAAATAGATCTCATTGTGTAGAAGTGCATTGCTAAATAACCATAACTCTGTCATGCCTAATTTTGGAGTAATTGCCCTTTGTTCATTTGTACCCTTTGAACTTTGTTCCAGACATAACTCTAAAACTGTAAGAGATATGAACATGAAACTTTGTAGGTAGATAGATCTAATTAGGTGGAAGTGCAGTGCTAAAGAACAATAACTCTGTATTGCCTAATTTTGGAGTTATTGCCCTTTGTTCATTTTGACGCTTTAAACTTTGTCCGGGACATAACTAGAACTGTAAGAGATATCAACATGAAACTTTGTAGGTAGACAGATCTCATTGGGTAGAAGTGCAGTGCAAAAGAACCATAACTCTGTCTTGTCTTATTTTGAAGTTTTTGCCCTTTGCACATTTGTAAACTTTGAACTTTGTCCGGGACATAACTCTTAAACTATAAGAGATAACAACATGAAACTTTACAGGTAGGTAGATCTCATTGAATAGAAGTGCAGTGCAAAAGAGCCATAACTCTGCCTTGCCTAATTTTGGAGTTATTACCCTTGGTAATTTTTTCACTTTGAACTTTGTCCGAAACATAGCTCTGAAACCATAAGAGGTTTGTATGTAGATTGATCTCATTAAATAAAAGTGCAGCGCAAAAGAACATTAAATCTGCCTTGCCTAATTTTGATGTTATTGCCCTTTGTTCATTTCTACACTTTGAATTTTGTCATGGACATAACTCTAAAACTTCAAGAGGTATACTTTTCTGTGTCCAAAACCTATTTAGGGAGCATCACCCGGTTCAATTGGTTCTTGTATATTGATGATATCATAGGACACATTTGTTTTCAGGACTTTCACTTCAAGTGTTGAATACAGGGGTGACATAGAATTTTCAAGTTGATCCTTTGACATAATTATGTAGTATTTTTCCTAATTAAGTATGCTCAGAAATAAATAAATTATTTATCCAATAATAAGTGTAATTTAAGGAGAAAGAAATACATAAATTCACATTTAGGATTCCTTATCTGCAGTGTCATTATATTAACTTTACAAATTATCACATGTTCTCATTTATACTTTCTATTGCTTTTTAATAAAAATTCTATTTCAAAATTAGAATACCCAATGACTTTTATCTGAAGATAATCTTGTGTGATGATTTATTAGCTGTGAATAAAGTGAATAAAAAAAATGATGCATACATGTACATGTATATTAAAGTATCTTTGTAGTAAAGAGGGGATTTAAAAATGATACATGTACATACATGAAAAAAAGGGATATTCATGTTTTTTCTATAAATACATGATTTATTTTCATCAAGTGAAATATGATAATTTTCATGCCACAAGATGAAAAAAAATCATGTATTTATAGAAAAAAACTTAAAGTTTCTGTTAATTATATACATTTTTCTCTTTTTAGACATTACAATTTGACAGTCTTTTCCTTAAATTTTGTATACTGGCTGAATTTATGAGAAAGTAATCCAGTGAGACACCAGTAAAAAATATGGAAAATATGTTTCACTGCAGTGAAATATAAATTTTTACAGTGAAAATACGGAAAATGAAAATTTATTTCATCAATATTTCTCGATATTTCATTTATAATTCTAACACTTTTTGTGATTTTGTCACTATAGACAAAGAAGAAAAAAAACGGTATTAATCTGCCAATAAACACTGGTTAAGGACTATTTGTATATGCGGCTGTTATGTTTTCTCCCTCGATTATATAGTTTACAAAGCCTTTTAAAGCAACAATAAAAAGCATTTTTAGCTCAACTTTTCTATGAAAAGGGGAGCTATCCTACTCGCCCCGGCGTCGGCGTCGGCGTCGGCGTTGGCGTCACACCTTGGTTAAGTTTTTCGTACCACCCCACTTTATTTCAGAAGTATTACAAGTATGGCTTTGAAACTTACCATACTTGTTCACCATCATAACCTCCATCTACAGACAAGAGTACATAACTCTGTCAAGGTTTTTGACAGAATTATGGCCCTTTTTTGACTTAGAAAGTGTATTGAGCTTGGTTAAGTTTTTTGTACCACCTCACTTTATTTCAAAACCATTGGAGGTATTGCTTTGAAACTGACCATACTTGTTTACCATCACGACCTTCATCAACAGACAAGAGGACATAACTCTGTCAAGGTTTTTGACAGAATTATGCCCCTTTTTGACTTAGAAAATACATTGAATATGGGTAAAATCCACTTATTGCCTTAACCCTTTGAGATATTGCTTTGAAACTTTTAATGCTATTTCACATCATTACCCCCATCTGTACGCAAGAGAAGGTAACTCTGTCAAGGATTTGTTTTAAAAATTAAGGCCTTTTATCGACTTAGAATCTTGGTTAAGTTTTTAGTACCAGTCCACTTTTTGACTGAACTGTTTGAGATATTAATTTGAAAGTTGGAATACTTGTTTACAATCATGATTCCCAAACATGTCCAGGAGAAGGTAATTCTGTCAAAGATTTTATTTGAATTATGGCCCTTAACTGTCAATGTTTTGTATTATAGGCAAGCACTAAAAAACTTAAAAAATCTAAAAAAATTCATTCCTATCCACTTGTTCACTTTACCATAAATTATGTCATATAAACATTGCTGTAATATTCAAGGGTATCAAACAACTAGTTATTTTTCTCTTTTTGTACTTGAAATTAAAATCAGTAGTATATGCATATTTCACATTTTATCTCGCCTATTTGATTGGTGGACAAGTTACACAATTCAGTAAAATAATTCTTCACTAAATATCTTAATGCTCATGGCCATTGTTCACTTTAAAAATACAGAGATTCTTGTATTGCCTTTTACTGCAAAAACTTTTTTTATTGGCAAGCAATAAAAAAGTTGAGCGCGCTGTCTTACGGACAGCTCTTGTTTGTTAATATTTTCATTTCTGATAGTTTTCTTTCCATACAATACTGAAATAATATCTCACATACACTAACCCCACAGATTTGATTCATATCAGTTAATAAAAAATTTTGACAAAATAGCGGCAATCTGTAAGCAGCGTTATGACGTCATCTTAAGTATACAACTCATTCATAAACGCCGACGTCATTTC